CAGACGATCCAACTGCCAGTACGTCACTTGGCGTCCGCCCTCCTCGAATCAGAGACGGACGCAGATAGACCAAATATAAGCTATATAAGCTACGAATGGCGGGGTCGTATACAAGACTGCCGATCGTACAGGAACACTCCCCTCGAATCGGACCACGCGTTAGTTTGTGCCAAGCTGTCCATGTGCTTCGGTGGGCGTTCCAAACGCACGACACGACGGTTAGATTGTGATAAGTTGTCTCAACCAACACGCCTGTCTTTCAAAACGCGCTTGTTGGAAAGCTAGAACCAACCCCACCCGGTGACGTTAACCAGCACTGGTCGCTTATGAAGAATGCTCTGCATTCTGCTGGCTTAGTTAGTTGTGGTCTGACACGTCGTTCCGCGACACCCTGGAGTCTCTACGCCTTCTCGACGCACGCCGACCAATCCCAACCGGCAGCGAGCATAATGAAATACGACACTCAATGAGTCGTAACCTCAACGCAACCTTACGCAGAGATCGCGAGATCTAGTGGACTCAACGCGCGTCAGAGATGGAACGTGCTACCACCATAGGAAACTCCCGGAAGCTGTTCCATCTCATCCGGGTCACCGGTGGGAAAGCCTTGGGTGTGAGCGAAACGATCTGCGAGGTTGACGGTTCGCCCACTCACAATGGACAGCGATGTCTTGCACGCTAGGGGGAGAGCACCTCAAGGCACAGCTTAGGTGGCCACCAACGTCGGCTTTTCACACAACTTTTCTGGCACACCTCTCATGGTCTGTCACAACAGACCCAACCTCTGAGGCGGAAATCCGTAATTAGATCCAAACCTTGGGACGTCATTAGGCGCATGACTCCCATGGCCTCCACCCAGCACTGTTTAAAGATGGTGGAATAAAGCCTGATAGATAAGTTTTGTTCTCTGAAGTTTAGAACAGTGAGCAGGTCCCCTCCTCGTGGTGGGTTGATTGTCGTCCTCACCTTCAAAAAGGGCCCGTGCAATGACTGTGCCAATCATAGGGATATAAGCCCAATCCCAATAGTGTCAAAGCTGTGAGCGTCCGTCATTCTCCGCCGATTGTGTATTATGAGTGAGGGGCAGACCGGCGAGGAGCAGGCTGGGTTTCGCGCTGGTCGTGGATGCATCCATCAGATATTCACCCTCCGACAGCTGCTAGAGCACCGTCATGCTTATCAAAGACCAACGGTCATTGTATTTTTAGACATTCACGCGACCTTCGACTCTGCCGATAGGACCGCACAGGAATGGAGTACCTGAGAAGTGTCGATCCTCAAAAAGTTGTATCGTCATACATTAGGTCGAGTTAGGGCCTACGGCCAGCTTTCGCCACCCTTCGCCGTCTCCAGTGGAGTTCGACAAGGTTACCCTATATCCCTATTTCTTTTCAACTTTCCCATAGAGGATGTTCTACAGAACGCTTTGTCCGATCTAGCAAACGGTGAAGTCGAGCTCCTCCCAGAGGACAGAGTTCTTGACTTGGAATATGCCGATGACATCGCCTTGCTGGGTGACCATACACAGGAGGTCGAAGACACTTTAAACCGCTTGGCGATCGAGGTATCTAGGTATGGTATGTGCTTTGCACCTTCAAAGTGCAAATTGCTTGTTCAAGACTGGCAGGAGCCTGTGCCTGCACTCTCTGTGGTGATCAACTAGAATTGGTTGAGAGCTTTAAGTACCTTGAGAGCTTGATTGCAGCTGGTGGTGGTAGTGTAGAGGGGATCACATCATGAATAGCGAAAGCTAGAATAGCTTTCGCCAAGCTGCGACACCTGTGGTGCCGCCATGACATCGAACTATCTCTTAAGGGGAGGATGTACAGCGCCGCAGTTCGCAGCGTTTTATTTTACGGTTGCGAGACCCGGCCTCTGCGCTGAGGATGCTAATCGACTTTCTGTATTCGACCACCGATGTCTCCGAAGCATTGCTCGTGTCTGGTGGGAACATCGGGTGAGCAATGACGAAATTCGTCGTCGTGTGCTGGGTACTGATAGTCGTTCCCACCGATGTCTCCGAAGCATTGCTCGTGTCTGGTGGGAACATCGGGTGAGCAATGACGAGGTCTGTCATCGTGTGCTGGGTGTGGATAGTCGTTCTTTTACAGAAGTAATCGCTCTACACCGCTTCCGATGGCTTGGTCACTTACTGCGTATGCCTGCCCATCGACTGCCTTTCTGTGCTCTTTTTGTACATGCGGGGCAAGGCTGGAAGAAGCGCCGCGGCGGTCAGAGCATGACATGGCGTAGATCTATGAAGAAACTGGCTTTAGCTTTGGCTTCAGTTCGTGCAGCGCACNNNTTGGAGCCCAAGGGATGAGGATTGTAGTTGGTTAGAGAGGCTGAGAGATATGGCCCATAATAGAAGTCAATGGCACGAATGCTGTACGGTTTGCATAACGAAATCCCGTGACCCCATAAGAAAAAAGACGAACTAACACAAACATACAAAATTCAAAAAGTGTACGGTGAAACAAAAAAAATTTTCACCCCATCTATTCGTTATTTCCCATTTTAACAATTCCTTCTTTTTCCTATGTTCTGTATTGCAACCTCTCCTCCCGTTATTGTTATCGGTGTTATTGTTTTGGCGTTGGCACCATATATATATATATATATATATATATATATATATATATAT